TGCGTAAGTGGCAATCCGCTCTTGCGGTTGGCAGAAAATTACGAGAAACTGCAGCTCGAACGCTAACTGAGCAATTTCGCGCAAAGATTGCGAATTCGTCCGCTTGTTTATTTACGACGAAACGAGGCCGCGTCAAACTAATCGTAACCAACGATTTTCTGAACAAATATCACTTGGAAAAAAGAGATTGCATACGGTTTATTCGTCGTAAATAGAAGCAGTGATAGCACTGGTTGTTCCATACTGTTATAAGCTTCCTTTAAAAGTTATGTCATCGTAAAATTAGGAAGTCAGTTAAGTTAACGGATTTCATATTTTTCTTGCCTGTGCTGAAGTTCCTGTACCTCCTTATCGTTGCACATTGATATCGATAAATTACGTAATTTAATAAAGTAAATAATTTGCTGGCTTTGTATGTAAAATATTGAAAATACGAATCTTTAATTATACGAAAATTGTATATCTATTAATGCAATTACTGCTGATATTTTATTGCTTTATGCAGAATGGAAAGTTGTTTGATTGGAATCTTATTCGTTCATTTTGGAGTGATTGAAAATATAATAAAAATAAATTAAATAACTTAATAAGTAGATATTCAAATAACACTCTATCTTTATCTTCAGTTCATATCATTTCCTTATGATTATTGTTGCAACTGCAACGAACTGAATAAATTTGCATAACTTTATTTACGTGACATTAATATAATTTATTATCCATATATTCTATACTCGATAATTCATACTCCTGTCTTATCTATATAAAAGCTAATTTAACTTTCGAAATGAACGAAGTTCAAAAATCTTCATGCTCCAATTTCTATGAGCTCTGTTAATATCGTTCTCTGGTTAAGGTAACGACTACGTTTTAAATATCGCTTCATTGGCTGTTCAGGTCTGCTGGTTCAAATCACCAAAGTGGTACGTTTTCTCTCGTGGAGTTAAGCTACCTGATGAACGCGAAAGATCTTCGAATCAGATAAAGTGTATAATTACTGTATTAAGCGTATCTTGTGTTATCATAATAATACGTCTCAGGAATGTACATTTTTCTATAGAAACTACCGAACCTAAAACATGAGTCACTAAAGTTAAGTAACTTCGGTACTAAATCTAAAATCTTAAGTCATATCTGTTTTTTTGGACATCATTTTATCTTCATCCTTCAGTCTCAGATTAGGTACATACATACTTTTACGCATTGTCAGAACTGCACCTTAATCTAAATCGCTAGTGAATCAGAAGTGAGCTGGTATAAAGCAATCAATGATGAAAGATGTAATGTATGATTGGAAGTGGATGCCATTCTCATCGTGTGAAAACCTTGATGCATACTTTCAAAATCGAGGGCGTTGTAATCAATATTATTCGACGTTTCCGGTTAGAAAATGTGTCTTTGGTATTAGTAGTAATGTAGAAGTAATATATAATAGAATATATTAGTATTAGTAGTGAAAATACATTTTTTCAATAAATAGATAAATTAATGGTAAAAATATATTTTTTTGAGAATTAATATTCCTTCGAGGAGTTCCATAAGGACCTTCAAACCTTCAAGCGAACTATAATATTAATTAAATTTCAAGATCGTTAGAAAGACAGTGTAAATTCCAATATTTCTAAACAAACCAAGCATATTCTAAAGACACGACGATAGAATAATTCATCATTTACTGTCAATAATTCAAAATCCATATTTGCAATGTTAGAGTAACCGTAAAAATCTACAATTCACTATAACTCAATTTCGACGGCAACAAATTTTCGGCTCCGTCTTAGAGTTTGTGAAATATCTACTAACATTAACTGTACCTTCGAGTTAACAACAGAAACCCGTTTCTTTTCGAAGACACTGAAGCTAGATCCTCCAGGTGCGTAACCAATACTCAAGCATAATAGCTGATAAACGTTGTTGCTAGTTCTAACGAGCACGATACATGCATTATGAACAATCTGAAAAATTGGCACGTTTTTCCGAGGCACAGATTGCACGAAAGAATTTAGCAACGGTAAACCGATTGATGGGGTCCTGGATTCGCAACGGAACTACTTTCCACGAGGCACACTTTGTATATATTAATGCTTCATCACTTACTACTGCTTTATAGGCTATCCGTTTATTTACCCTAGCCTAGTATTAATTTATAGCCCATTAATGTAATGGACACGTTGAAATCCTATTTTCTTTTCCTTTTTTTTTTGGTTTTTACTTGTTCCCCAATATTTGTCGATAATTCACGTTGATTGTATTGGTACGAACGTTCTAAATAGTTAGGTAGTTGGAATGTATCTTCGCGTTACTTCTTCGGCTGAAAAATGCTTCGAATAAGGTGGAGGAGAGTCCTTGTGATCGTTCATGCACGTCGGAATCACGTTTTCTCAATTCGTGTCACAACGACCCAGTTTTAAATTGCTTCTTTGATCTTCTCGATCGGGTACATTGTTGTGTGTCAATTTCACTAGCTATTTGAGAATTAGAATTGATCTTGCGTGTTAACTTCAATGGCATTTCCATGAGAAATGTTTGGGAAATGATACTTCTCGACATACTAAAACAAGGAACAAGCTATTAACGTTAATTCTTTGGTAGTATAATTGTAACGTTTTAACAGTTTTGGTTGAATGATTTTTTGAAACAGACGACGTTTTTAACGACACAGTTGCCATTTCTTAAGTACTCTTAATTTCATAATTTTTTTAGTAATCGTTATGATTAATGGAATCAGTGATTCATTTACTAATGTATCATATTTCATATTTCTATCAGATTGATCAAATTGATCAAATTTGATATTAATCAAATATTAAATATATTTTTCATATTCACTATGTGAACATAGAAGTAATTACTTTATCTTCACTGATTAGCAATCTTCCGATTATTCAATTAACTTTCATATACATACTTTTCGATGATAATTGATAATTGATCATTTCAATGATTCTATTCGCTAAACAGATATGTATCTGGCGTTTTTATAACCAGTCTTACGTTTTCTTTTTTTAACATTCAATCTACGTTATCCGGAAACACGATTCAATCTCCCTAAGCGTCACAGAGAAGCACTTCTTTGTTAAAATCTTACATATTTATTGTGCAGGGTGGGGCACGTAAAACAGGCCACCTAATTATCTTCTATAAATTTGGCGATGCGAGAAAATTTTGATTAATTTAAATAATTTCAAAGTGTAAGTAAGATACATTTTTTCAGTTTTTTTTTTCAAGGCCACTTGTTTTTTTTTTTACATAAATGTATACATTTTCTTTCTACTGCAAAAATTGATGTGCATTTAAATATGCATAATAATATGAGCTTAAAGTGATCTTGGACTCTAAAATTTTGAATTAAATGTGAAGCTTTCTTTCATTTTTTGCCATTTCTTGCATCGAACAAATGTTTCTTCTGTCCTTTTCACCCTTTGAAACCATTTAAAGTACGTATAAAAATTTTCTCGTGCCACCATAGCTAGAGAAGATAATTAGGTGGCCTATTATTTATGTCCATTGTTTCTCTGACGATCTTTCAACTTCAGAAACGTCCCCGAAGGGCTAAGACACTGCGAGAGAAAATAAATCCTATCTGGACCGAGATGAATGAAGAGGTGAACCTATGTCAGGAATGCGCGCGAGGTTGAGAAGGCCGCGGGCGTTCTTAGGAGGTAACAGGTTCAGAGTTAACGGTGTAATGCCCCCACTATGTTTGGTATTTCTTCTACTGTCGTCAGTCTCCTCGGTCAAGGACACCTGGAATTAGGTCACTTGCCTCCCGAAATTTGTATCGACGAATGTAGACAACAAGCCAAGAGAACGAACCCGTTGTTACGCTCTCCTTACACAGGCCTTTTTTTTATGCAAACATTTCAGAAATTATCTTAGTTTTCTCTTCGTTTTCGAAAAAAAATCGTTCGAATTTTTTTAAATTTTCGCGCGAAGAGAGATATAAGTTTCATCGAATTTTCTTTCGTTAAAATTTCTACTTGCCTATTAGAATCTCTGGAGATTAGTTCTCTTGTCCAAAAACGAAATGGGAATGAATACGATAAGGTGTAAAGTAAATTTTCATTTTTGGCAACAAAAATATTAAACTGTACTGTTAAAGAAATAAATCATTTCATTCCCAAAGGATAGTGAGTTTATGAAAAATTTTTAAACTATTCACGTAAAATTACACGTGCAGTTTTATTTATAATTTCTTTTATATTCGAAGCTGACAAACTTTTACTTTCAATATTTTTCAACGTCTCGTGGAAAATATCCCTATAATAAAAACTACTTTTACCATTAACAACATTTTGTTTATACAAATGTTCTGTTTTTCCAAAGTTTCCATACTAGATATCGTTATTTAATTTTTAAGTTCGAGCTACATTCCCCATATCTCACTAACGATCTCATAAATAATGATCGTAACTCGTTAAAGCATTTCATAGAAACATGACCGGAAGTAGGCACAAGTTTCCCCGGAACGTCGAACTTTCTCTTAAGCCCACATCCGCGAACTTATTTACTCCTCCGTTACATGCCTATCTCGGCGACTCCTCCAAGAATTCTTTTGTCAATGTAATTCACGGTGTCTTTTACATAAAATATTCCCTCTGCATTTTTATTTAAATCCTCGAATACTTTTTCGACCTAACCGCCTTTCACCGTAAGAATTACATGAAACGAAATTAAAATAACCGGCGTTCTTAAACGGTACAATGAAACAAAGAAACGAACGAACTGTTCATAAAAAAAGAAAGAAAAAAGAAATGTCAACTTAAAGGGCGTGTATAATTTTGTCTCTCGAGAAGACCGTTAAAAAAAAAAAACTGTTTTCTCATGGTTTACAATGAGTATACTGTGGGATCGGGGCCCGTATACCCCATCAAAAGGAGTAATAACAGCAAGGAAATCAAGAGGACGCAGAGACCCGGCTTGCCAGCTGAGAGGTCGCGGGTTCAATTCCCGCTTTGGTCCCTCAAATTTTTTCCTCGGTTCTTATAATATGAACTTACCACAAAACGGAACGCCTTCGGGTGCCCAAGAACCATCAGGCTGACACACTCTCCGTGCAGGTCCAAGAAGCTCAAAGCCTCGTTCGCAAGTGTACGTAGCCACTGTGCCCTCAGGCAGTATCGTGTCCTTTAGAAGGGCATCCTCTTCGTCTACAACGTCTTCAGCACTTGTTCCTGTGAAGCGGACGGTACTGTGTGCAGGTGCCCCAGGGTAACCGCATCCGGCACCATTGCAACCTGCAATCCAATACAGAAACGCCATCATTATTAAGTAACTTGGTAGCGTTTATTATCAGGCATTAATGTGCTTAAGCATCGTCGTAACACGGAAGAATTAATAATAATAACGAGCATCCTCTCACATCTTTAATCATATTCGGTAAACATAAGAGGAGGAGAAGAAGAAGAAAAAGCAGAATGAAACAATGAAATGAAAGAAATGGATGGAACAAAGAGAACGTTCGCGTGAGTTCCGTTAGAACAGCTGTAATTCATACAATATACATGAAACATATAGTTACGACGACAATTTCGAGTTGAAACGTAGAAGTTCCTCGAAGCCAAAGAGGGGAATGGCCGAGCTGCTGTACCAAAAACGAATTAATCATACTTGTTTTCACTCTAAGTTCGAATTTCTAGGGGATCACCGTAACTAAGGGCCACAGCAAATAGTTTCCCCACCAAATAGCATAAGAGACTCCCGAAAATAGCGGAGCAGTGTTCTTTCTATTCTGGCGATCAAGTATAACTTGCATGCTTCTGTATAGTCGGTGGAAGCGATACAGCGAGATCGCAAATTAAAGCGTTAAGCGGCGACACCAATTGATGTAGCCGCACCCAGAGCCGTCCATCATTTGTGATTTTGATATTTAAAATTTCTGTTTACAATTTTTCATTGAAGACATACGGTATTAAGCCTCCTGCTCAATAGTAATTTCCGTATTGGTAAAAATGATCCTGTAGCTGTCGACAATTAAGAATCAATTCTGAATTGACATCGAATAACCCTGAATAAAGTTTTTGCTCTTTATCTTCCTCAAATTGCTGTTTTGGTGCTCGGATTATGTGCACTTTGACTGATTGACGTCACAGTATCGCTTCCACCGACAGTACGTCACGTGCAATAATTGTATCCGGAGCTAGACTTTCGAAACGTCCGAAATGTATTAATATTAATAAGTACAAATTCATCTTAACGTTTCCAACCTGAATTCCATGAACATTAGCTCGATTTAATTTCGTTCCCGTATCGTCGATCATCTTTTTCCTCAACCCTATCGAAGAATACACGTTAACACGGACGATGATCTCTCGTGACTAATTACACGAATAATGCAACGTTTTATTGCTCGCTTGGCAATCAGTGTGTGTACGCGGTGGATACAGCGGGCAAGCGTGGCTCACGGTGTGGTTACTGGCGTGTACGAAGGGACATGCAACTCACGTCATCACGCAAGAGCTGCATTAAAGTCATTGCAAAGCGGGACATTGCCTCATCGAGCGTTGGAGTTTTCAAGCCGATGATTTCAATGGCTGGCGAGAGCCTCGTCACCTCCGTGAACACGAATAGACATTCAGCTCGCCGATTCAACCTTATCCGTTTCTTTTTCTTTCTTTCTGCCTTTTGTCTTACTACCGTTTGCCTTACGCAATTAGAATCGACGATCAATCGTTGAGTAAGCAATTGCTTGCTTCGTTTCATTGTCAACGCGTTTTGTCGAAGAAGCCTCATCCGCTTCTTGTTTCGTGACAGGTGAATATATTTGTTGAATTGATGCTTTATAAATTATTCAATGGACGAGGATTTTAATTATTTCTTTTTGAAGATTTTATGATTTTTCTTGAAAGTAATTTTAAAATATCCATTCCTCTGGATGGTTTTAATAGAGAATCCTGATTTATTTTGATAAAATTAGGAATTATGATATGATTTGGAAAGATTGTTATAAGTATAACGCAATACTTTGAAATAATAAATTAATATAATATAATTGGATCTTAGCTTGATTTAACTTCTCAAATTTTATTTCTTCAGCTTATAAAATTAGTAGATATTGGTACTACTGAAATGTGCAGTCTATTTAGCTACTTGTTCGTTAATGATTCGAGGAAAGTAAATATCATAGTAAGTTTACTTTTATTAACTACTTTCTAGTGGTATAAAGAGTAATGAAAATATTATGTAACTAAGAACTCCTTTTTGATATTACAATAATCTTTATTTCATTCTCATAAATTTGATACCATATATGTATACTCGTATGTTACAGAAGTTTCAATTTTATGTTGGGTAAAACGATCTATGAATCACGTTTCTTTCAGTTTACAGATATACGGAATTTTTGCAAAATCCAATAATCATGCAAACCAGAAATTAAATTTACTATAATTCAAGATAAAACATACGAGGAGGAAAATTTTGGACAAGTGTGGAAACGTTCAAGCAAATATCACCTCCCTTCTCAATTAAAAAATATTGTACTGAAGTATTAATATAATTTACCAAGCTATAAATAATTCTTACACTTTCAACTTACAATTTCTTATCATTTCTTACAATCTCTTTTTTTAGAATTTCTTAAAATTTAATGGAAACAAGTTAACAATTTCTTACAATTTCAACAATTAGAGTTGATCTTTAGTCGGCCCCTTTTTTTATCAAGCAGAAACAATAATAACACAAGACGTAAATTTCTACCATTTCGTACAATATCCTAGATAAATAACAGGATACATCTGCAATGAAATTATTAGCAGTAAAATGTTCACGCATCGTCAAAAGCATTCCCTGTTGTTCCTTTCAGTTGATCGTCGTGCGCCGCGTGTTCGCTGATTAATAATAGCCTACTGTGGCCGTGGATGATTTGATTACGAGCCGGGGGAGCAGATTTTATCACGGGCATCACAAGCCGTTAAATCATTAATCTTTGGTAACTACTGGCTACCTATAGGCGTAGATAAGCAGCAGAAAACGCCACGAGCCCGTAACGGAAACGATAATGCAAGCAGCTCACATCCTGCGGCTATCGCGCAATCACCTAGGAAGTCATCGGCTATGTAGGCGCACGTGTGTTAAACTCGATGGACGTCTTAAGAGGGAAGCGGCATGAAAACCGAGCGGTTTCGTGAAATTTCACCTCGTCCGCTTGCGTAACACGTGCATTTTTCTTCTTCACCCTCGTCACTTCGTTCCCCCTTTTTCTTCTCTGTCGCCATTCTGACCATTGGATCGAAAGGATCCAGTTGCTTTCTAACGCGATTTGCATTCCGAACGCGCGGATCCGTTGTTCGGTTGCACGCGGAAACCGAACGATTTCTACGTGCTATTCTCTCTTTCGCATCGTTGCGTCGCGCTGTATGTACTTTTGTAAGCTTCAACGGAGAATGCGTACCATCGGCGGACATTTCGTCCCGTAGAATCGTTGAAATTTACTCGAGGCGACGTAGCGAATAGTAGAATAGGAGCGTTAACGTTGAAACGAGAGAAAAACGAAGCGGGTTAAGAATTTCAACGCTTTCGTAGCACGAGCAAGAATGTCAGACGTTCTGTTCACTCTGACGAAAGTATTATGTTGCTAGGAAAGTGTGACTACTTGTTTGTTCCTTTGAGAGATTCAAACCTGTTCGATTTTCTTCCGCGAGAAACATACTGATAATGGTAAGATAAAAAGTACGTATAAAACTGGAATATGCATGTCGTATCTGTTTCTCTCTCTCTCTCTTGAGGAGAGTAGATTGTAACATTTGAAAGTGGTCTGTAATAGGGGTCTGGTATTTAGGTTTATTGCAGGATGTCGATTATCGAAGGCACAAAAGGAGATTGAGAAAAGATGGGCTTGAGATTTATAGATAACGGCTTCTGGAAAGTCCCACTGTCCAACAAGTGTTAACTGCAAAAGTGTTAACCCGAAGAATTCATTTAAGAGACAATAGGAATTGGCACGCGCGCATCTACAGTACACTCTTCTCTAACGAAAGTGTTGCGAAATGAATTTTGTTTTAAGAATAGAAAAGTCGTGAATTTTGTCAGAAATTATTTCGAAGGAAAATTAAAAATCTGCAAATTGCAGTCTGAAATTGCAAACTGGTAGTAAAGTGGGACCTGAATAGTTAAGATGATGCTTCAAAAAAGATATTAAAAAGGGTATGTTAACATTTTAAAAGAAATCTGCATTTCTTTATATATTTCATTTTTTTACTGCTAGAATTTGCAACGAAAAAATCAGAAAAAATTCCCTAACATAGGCCTCCATATATGCAATAAGTCAGATTTTTTTTCAAAATTTTTGATAGAGCAAAAACTGATCGATCGAATTTTCCCTATAAAGGGTTGAAACTTGGTGCGTTGTTTTCTTTCAGTAAAGTATCGAATGGTCTATCACAAGACAAAGGTTTATGGGCACTTTTGACCCCTTTATCCAGCTGCACCCTTTGTTTTGTCTTTGAAGGGTTTTAACCATGCACTATTCATTTTGCATATTTTGCATTTCCTCTCTAAGAAAGTATGCAAAAATCTGTAGCATATTTCATATACGTTTAATATATTTATTTTGTAAAATCCGATGCTATTCACTGAACTTTCGAACCAATTTGCTAAGTATGTGAAAAATACTTGCAGTTTATTACAATTTAAATTACAATCATAATTTCTAAATAATTTCAAACATTTTCAATATACTTAGTACACATCCCACATTTTCTTTTGTACAGATGTTATTATATTTTTCCATATGTTCGTGTATTATATTTTCATATTTCCCATATTTCATTTGCATATTTCAACATATTTCAAGCACATGAACATCTGCGGTCTACTCATCGGGGTTCCTTTCTTCGAAAAGCTAGAACACATTTCTAATTAGCTATCATGTGCCCACAAAGCGACATTCCTTAACGAACAACTGACTAAACGGTTTCGAACGTAGACACAGAAATGATGAGTACGTAACGGTTCGTACTATGTGATTAACATATTTATCAGTCAGTTTGTCTATTCTTCCACCCTATCTTGGGTGACCAAAGACTGGAGACGCACCATGCTCACCATTTTGCTACGTGTGCTTTCCGCTGGCCAAACGTTTGTCCCGAGTGGGCAAACAAAGAAGACAAAAGTGAAACCATAACTGGAAATGAAGAATTGAGCGTTGATGCAATCGGTGTTTGCTAATGTAAGGAACGTCATAGTTGTGCAAAACAATGATGTGCACGTATGATATCAAAAAGTACCAAGTAGCTTT